CTGTGGCACTTCAGTCTCAGGCTGCTTTAACAGAGATCTTTAGTTCTCTGGAATATTGAATCTCATCCATCCATCATTTTCTGTCACGCTCATCCCAAGCGGGGTCGCAAGGGGGACTGGTGCCTAGCTCCAGCTCTCTACGAGCGAGAGGCGGGGTACACCCTGGACAGGTCACCAGTCAATTGCAGGGCAACACAGAGACAAACAGGACAAGCAACCATTCACACACACACTCACACGTAAGGAGAACTTAGAGAAGCCAATTAACCTAACAGTCATGGTTTTGGAGTGTGGGAGGAAGACGGAGAACCCACGCATGCTCAGGGAGAACATGCAAACCCCATGCAGAAAGACTATTTAATCCCATGTGTAAAGGAAATCTTTCTCTTCCTGATTATTTCCTGAGAAGAGATCACACAGAACAAAAACTTTTGATAATACTTCATAATGTACGTATATGCATTAAATAACCCTGAGACATCACAACAGTATTTACAGAAATTGTAATCTTACTCCGACCAGAGAAATGGCTCAGGTTACAGATGGCGGTGCAAAGCACCAGGCTCACTTTTCCTCAGAAAATTAGCTCAGAATAACAGTTAAAGAAGCATTTTATACATCTCCATTGTCGCCCCCTGCCACATCCTCAAATGTCACATCATTACATCATACACATTGGTAAATGAGGAGACATCACTGGCTCCAGCCATATAAAGATATTACGCAGAATTCTAGATTAAGAACACTGAAAAAGTGACAGAGAGCCCACTGTTAAGAATAATCCACTCTGTCTGTGCTCCCATTTCATTCACAAATCTTTGTTACATCCATAATGAAGATGATAACTTTCTATCCTGACAGAATAACTGTCCTAATTAGATAGACTGCTTAGGAAGCCATTAGCCTTAACATGTAACATGCAGATATTATTACGGTTTAACAAGCACATACATGATTAATAGAAAATAACCCTAACACATGGAGAGGAAAGGTCAAAAGCAACATGAAGTGGAGTACCTTCAGTTGGTACCAATGAAAAGAGTAATAACAGATTCAGGCGTTATCCTATAAGTTAACTTCTTAAAATATGACAAGCTCCTGACAGGGACAGTTTGCAGAAGTGGTTTGCATACATAGGACTGGACTGTATATACTCATAGCATTTCTAGTGATTGTAACACCTAAATACAATGGTTTAAGGATGTAAGGGAATATTTAAGGGAATGCATTTTTTTTGATATTTTGTTAATGGGCCTATGTATAGCAATATTAACTTTTTGGGGCTTTTAACTATTTTATAAATTTATTCCTTAATAAAATAATGCCCAAATTGGTATTTTGCTTGATTTGTGTATGGGATAAATTCTACTCTCTAAGCAGCAGCCACTCCCCACCCTGGAAACCAGTTAGTCATTACCAAGCTATATAGAACAGATATTACTCACCCCCCACATGAAAGCTCCTACCTTGACACTGATACTAAGCTGCAGCAGCTGCTGGGCGATGTCATGAAAAAGGCGGCACCCAATAAATGTTTCTGTTTTGATTTCTGTTCCAGTGTCAAAAAAAGGTTGTAGGATGATTCAGTTGGTAAAGATAAACTTCTAACTCTGGTCAGTTGTCATACTGGATAAGTAACACTATATGAAGTCTTATCATTAGCCTTAAAAATAGAGATTTGTTATATTTTTCTGGTTTCTCTTAGAAGAATTAGTTGGTGGTTGACAAATTTCTTTCATCTATCTAAAAACTTTTTTGTACCCAAAAAAAAGTGCCAAGCAGGTTCTATGACCTTTGTTTAATAAGACTTGGTGCAGAAATTGACACGCTGTAATCTTTTTACTGCCAGCCTGGCATCCATATGGTGATAAGGAGAAAAAAATGACAGATGTTCATCTTCAGACACTCCAGAGATCTGACATCCCTACCAACAAATCCAGAGAGATGATGAACAAACTCATTCAATAGCTCCTTCATTAGCTCTAAGGGATTTAGACATGAATACTCACAACTAAAAATAGCCACATTCTGTTCCATTTAATCAACTAAGACGTGTACCGTCAGCCTGCATGCATAGACAAAGAAGTGTGAGTTAAAGACTCTTCTCCTAAACAAGGCTTAAACTATTTAGGGTTGTTTTTAAATTCTAATAACATTATTTAGACTTCATCTGTTAAAGCGTTGCTGTTGCTTTGCTGTTATTAAATGTATTAAGTAGTATGGTACATTGAAAAGGCTCCTAAAAACATGCACATGTATCTCACAGTGTTGTTTCCTCAAACAAAGCAATAACCTTTAAACAAACTGAGCATAAAAAAAAATCATTAAAAAAGTTTCTAAGTTGACATTTAAAGTATGGAAACAGCCTCCATCCCAAAGGAAAGGAAGCACAAAGAACAATCGTCTAGCTGTTGGCTCAAACGTATCAGTTAAACAGAACTATCAGCCTTGAAGTTTAAGGTCTGTTACACATGTATCCATGAGAAATAGCGAAACCCTCAGAGGGGGTTGTTATCACTGTCATTATCAGCTCATGGGGTAAAGGAATATTTTAGATTGTCTTGTTATAAATTAAGACCTTTGATAAGAAACACAAAAAGGAGAAAACAAATGTCTGATTTATTATCACAACTGTTTATAAGATCTCAGTAATAATGAAGGTAAATAAAAGTTTTTTTTTTGTTTTTTTTTGTGGGAACATCATAATCTAATTACTAGAAAGACAGTGAATATTTTTCCAAAATCCACTAGAAGTGCTGCAGAACATAGGGACCATGAATGCCATTAGAAATGTACAAGGCTAATCATTAACTGTTGCTCATGTCATGTACATCTGAGTTTCCCCATTAAGACATATTTGTTTACCAGCGATGCTTCCACCCCTGGTTTAAGGGTACATTTTAACAGTATGGTAGTTTCAAGTGAGATACTTTAATAAAAACATTAACATTGTATACCTCCAAAATGAGCAAACTTTCGTTTGTTGAATATTAGTTTATTCCCCACTGCCATTAGACTGCTGAATGTTTTGTGAAATGGGCTATTGTATTGTATTTTATTATTTTTATTATATTTTATCATTATATTTATATAAAAAAACATGAAAATGTTAGAACTGTAAATTTACAGTCATATTTTTATATTACTGTTTTTATTTTATTTTATTTTTTTTACTATTTTTCAAGTCTGCACTTTAAAAGAAGCATTTAAATTATCCATAGACCTGTTCAAAAATTAGAAATTTCTAAATGAAATTTCTTTTTTGTTTTATACTTGTGTAAACAAAATGACCAAAAAAATCTGTCTAAGTTATCTTTTTTCATTATAAAATCCAACCAAAAGTCCATTTACTGCTACAGGGGGACTTAGAAATGCTGCAATGTCATGAAGTATATTGTTATGGAATATCTGTGGCAGAAAGTAAAAAAAAAAATAGGCTCTATGGTCAACATAGATCATCGCTGGGTACAGTCCTATATATATTTCTACTTTATTTTATATATTAATAATTATCATATAACTTAGATTTCAATATAAGAACTGAATGTTAAAAACCACCAGCTTCAGTGATGAGGCTTGGTTTAACCTGATTTCTGCTCTTATCTTGGATTAGTCATTTGACTTTTTCTCATCTTCTTCATTGTTCTAAACGGCATCCTCCCTTCTTTTTTTTTTTGTTTGTTTTGTCATATTTTGTGTTGGTAGATCTGGTCTACAGTTTTGAATACATATTTATTCTTCCAGGCTATATATTATGCTCCCCTCCATAAGTTCAAAAAATAGTTTTAATTCTTACACATTTCCTGGAATATTAACTCCAATAAACTAGTTTTTACTTCTAATAAACTATTTTGCTTCTAAACAGAGAGATATACCAACTGCTTTAAGATTGTAGTTTACTGTTTTTACAAATAATTTCATGATAAATAGAGGTAAAGAGTTTTCTATTTTCACATTCAGTTAAATGAATCCCAATGTACTGAACGTGATTAGACACTAACCTGTGCTGTAAGTCTCATCACCATATCTGAAACTGAACTGTATAACATACAACAATTGTATTTGAGATGAACATCCTGTACAAACTCAGTAACATTCAGTGAAAGTTGTGGTCTGAACCCTACAAATATGAAATAAAATGTTTTCTTATGGTGTAGTTAAGGCTCCTTAAAGAACTTTGACAACTTTGTTTTTCTTCAAGTCACATGTCTAGTTGTGATATCTCTTTAATGAGTATTAATCATGTGTATCAGACTGAAAGGTTTGAGGGATAAAGGTCAGCTTGTGTGATAATTCAGATTTTAGCCTTATCAAAAAGTCCACTTTTACAATGTGTGCCTAAAGATTTAGTGAAAGGTCGCTCTTGTCTCCTAAAAACCAGAGTTTTCTCTGGTCAGTGTAGACATAGAGACTTTTGTCTCTGTCAGTCAAGTCATTAACTTGTGGAAGCAAGATGTTTCCCTAATTGTGCAATCATTGTGTGCTGTGTTAAATTTGCTAATGTGGCTGAAGTTGAATGAAGTGGAAAATGTCTATGAAGTCGTTTCCTCAAGGTAAAACTCGTCTTTTATCAATTGATTTTTCCAGACTTTTTTTCACCATTATTAGCAATATCATCAGTAGTAGTCTGAGTATGCAATAATTCTTCATAGAAAGCATTTATACAAATTTCCATAAGTAAAGCTTATAAGGTTGTTCTTATGATCACAGACATATTTTATATAACAGTCATGACTTTTATAGCAACCACTAGAAGGTAAAATTAGTCAGCTGTTGCACATAAATGCTAATATAACATACATGTGTCTACTGTCCAAGAACCCAGTAATTATATGGTTAGTGTAAATATACCATATTACACATATATATTAACATATGCATGTTTCTTTCTGAATGTGAATGAATCCAAACAACTGGATGGGACTTCTGACTATACAGTAGCTATTCAATACAGTCACACAGGATAGCAGAATTTAGCTAAAATACTATTTATTCCTACATTTCATTCATAATTGTCCAAACAGATAGATCCATGAATAGATCCTCTATAGGTAAAAGATTTCAACCACTATGAAATCCTAAGAAGAGTTTTATAACAAGGTACACACAACCACAAACTATTTTCCGACATTTGTGTTTCACAGTATAGGATTTCTATCTAGACACATGGTAGTGAGTAGTCACAGGTGAAAAAGTCAAGACAGAAAAGTTTAGTCTTTTTCCTTATCTCTCTGAGCAGCATAGAATTTCCTGTTGTCTAAACACCAAAAACATACTGTAGTTTAAAAGACAGACACATATCAATGTTGGTATAGAATAGTTTCTAGAGGGAACGGTTGCTTCTTCAGGAGATGCTTCTGATGTTGGAAATTTGTCACTGAAGATAAGAATTCTCTAGGAAGCTAAAAAGAGGGAAGAAAAACAGAGGAAAGGCTTTAGATTTTTATTGATGACTGCAACACCTGAAGAATCAAATAAATTATCCATTAAGTATTTTATACATCATTTAAAAAGCCTTAATATTTGTGTAGAACTCAATTTCTTTATTTCAGAGGGCTATGATTGTATATACATGGATATATATATATATACATTTTCAAACAGCTTTAGAATTTTTCGGTTTATCTGTAAATTTACAAATACAGACAAAAAAACATTTCTAGACTAGCAATACCAGCTGCAGGACCCCTCAAGCCTATTAGGATTGCTGGAGATGGTTTAAAAGCTCAAGATAATCTCTAACTGGAAAAACCACTGATTTCAGCTCATGTGGTTTTTGGAAGTAGTTATTTTTTTTTATTTTTTACTTGTTTATTTTTACAAAAATTGGTGCAATGAATATGAACAACTTTCACATAAATTAATCCCACATTGCAAAAACAAGTTTCCTAAATTAAGTGTATTTATCTTAATTTGAATAGGTTAATAACATTATTTGCCAATGGAATTAGTATTTTTACTGTTGAAATAAGATAAATAGGTAATATGCACTTGAAATAAGACAGAGGGAATTGTTTTTTCTTATTTTAAATGTAAATTATCTTGTTCCATTGGCAAAGTGTCCCACCTCTGTTAAAAACTTATTTTAAGAAAAAATAACTTATTTAGTTTTCAGTTTTTTGCAGTGCAGGCAAATTTATAAGGTTTATTTTACACACAGCAGGTTAGTTAGAAAGGTTTCAGATTCAAGATACCCATACACTAGAGCAGATACATTTCATTCTCTGTCATAACTCCGTCATAACTACCTGTTTTTGAATTAGGGTTATTAACATACCATGTTTCTGGTCTCACATAAGGCCATGCCGCTTCCTTCTGCCAAACGCCTGGGCACCAACATTTGTAGGGACAAAGTTGCTGTATCCAAGTCCACCTGAGCGACTTAAAAAGTCGGCCAAGCGGTGTGTCACACAGGTGGCCGTGTTGCATGCCCGTTTTTGTGCTGTCGAGTTGCTTGTGAAAAAAAGGGGGCAAAGACAAAAAAGTTTGAATGTTTGAGAGGGGATGTAATGAAGGTGAGCAACAATATCCATTACTATTTCCTTTTACTGTTCATAAAGCTTGCTCCAACCACATTGTTGGGGGGGAAGAATCAGTTTGATGATAAAAATTAATCAAATAGGAAAAAAGAACATCACAACTAAGAAAAAAAATACTACAAGGCAGGGCTTTAACTGTCAACTTTTTTATTATATTGAACATATTGCAGCAGTTTTAGATTCGTTTTCATTATCATTTTGAGTCATAAAAGATTTTTTGAAGGAAAATACACAAACAAAAACAGACCAAAAAAAAATGATTGGCTGTAAATCTCAGAATTTCTATTTTATGTGCTGATGTAGTTTTCATATAGCTCAGAAAGGCTTCTCCTCTTGCCAGGGGTCCCTGCTCCCACATCAGTACGAGGATAGGTTTGCAGTTTGTGAATATCCTGGGAGAGTCTGCCAAGCACACATGTGCTCAAGCCGGTGCAGCGTTTTGACACAGGTCTACTCCAACTGTTGGAGATGGAGAGAAACATGCAAAGGCTTACAGGACAGTAACATGCAGATATTGACCTGTGGTTACATGCATTTACGAAACAGCTAACTGTGATATGATACAGACATGCTGAACAACCCAAACAGTGTGTGAAGTTTTCACATTGACCAAAGTGAGACGGTAGAAGTTGTATGCCATCTTGTGGTGATTAGTCTGTCGTGCATATTTTCTGTTCGTTAGCAATATATCATCAATATTCTGAACACATGCCAAACTGCAAGCAATGTTTTTTAACTGATGTGACATTGAATGAGTCAATGAATGTATGATTAAGTTTAGTACATGCAGTCAAATATTTTTCTGTTAGTGGTAAATCCCTATTTATACCTGTAAAATGATCATCAAGCTCAAATGTTGGACGGATCTGTACACAGATCTCAATTACATTTTTTTTTTAGATCAGAAAAGATTATCAAAACAAAGATGTGCTGGAATAAAAAAGCCTTACCTCTCCCCATCAGCTGCTTGTTGGGTCGCTTCATCTGAGCTTATCTGCATGAACTCCTTGATAGCTCTGAGTAATGTCTCAGTATCCTTGTTCAGTAGTGTGACCCCATCTGACCTGGACTCCTTGCTAGTTGAGAAAACACTCATTCAATTGGTGCATTGATCTCTGTGCATCTGACACAAATATTGGGTAAAATGATTGTTCACATGATAAGTTACCTTAAGTGGTACATGTAATCTTACGGACACGAACAATCCAATTTAGATAAAGAGTTTCTAACATCTATCATGCTCCAGCTCTCACCTGGATAGTGCTGCGTTTGAGGAGGTCTGACAAAAAATTAGAGCATAGCCAAGAAGGAGGGTCGTGAGTTTAAACATACTCATGATTCCCTGTAAAGAGAGAAAAAGAAAACACAGATATACTGATAAAATGTATGCAAACCAGCAAGGAATGTGTTTACTGCTTCACATTTAACTCAATCTACAGACATTTTAGATGAAAAGTAAAATTACTTAAAAATTGAGAGTTTTTTCAGTTTTAAATATATAAGCTTTATTATTATTTAACTCTGTTTCTCTGTTTGGTTTTCTCCCCTCACAAAATTATAGCCATGGTTTTTAAGGTTGTGCAGTAATGAGCAACAGTAATTAAAAGATTACAGTGGCTTCAGTAACAGAGATAGATGCAGTTTAATCTATTAGATATATAAAGCAAAGCAATTTAAATGCAGCAGAGCCACTTTTCACTTCTTTCTGTTTTCTTCTTTCTATATCCCATCATAAGATAAATTGTTTGCTCAAAGAAAAATAAAAGTATGAAAAAAGATAAATAAGTGTATCTTTTTTACGTACCTTGCAGTTAACGATCTTCTTCTACTGGAGATGTAGATGATGTGATGATAGTGTATCTGTTGAGCTTCCTCACAGTGTGCAGTTTTATATATGTCCCACATGGATTATTGTAATTTCTGAGCAAACACTTGATTATACTTCATTGGGCAGTCCAGTGCATGCTTCAAAGCTTCGGACCAATCAGAGGTAGTGTGTAATTTATAGCAACCAAATAAGAACTTGTATGCAAATCAAACTGCTTCATTGTCATGATGCTCTCAAATGACGAAAGATTTGCAAAGTTTGAACTCTATAAGTGGCAGGTGCATCCAGGCAAAAACATCACAGTAAATCAACAGAGGCAGGGAACTCATTAATACAAGATGCTTCCTTGCACCAACTCAGAGTAAGATCTATTCTTAAAAAGTATTTGTATGTTTTTTAATTTTCAACTTTTGCACATGTTCAGCATATGATTTAGGGCTTATAGTCAATTTGTACACCAAGGTACATATATGTTTCAGTATACTCTAATGGGGTAAATGTTGATGTTTTTAATGAAAAGAAGAGTTTGTAGAACCTTCTTCTGACTTGTTGATAGCATGACTTTTTTTTACTATCATTTAGAAGATGAAGCCAGTCAGACTGAATATTGTCAAATGCAGATGAATAATTTTGATAATATATCTGACCTGGTCAGACTCCAGGTAAAAGAGGGCATCAAGGGTTTCTAAGGTGACCAAACATGAAAAAAAAAAACTTACTAAAATAATCTACAGTAGCAAAGAGGCTGCACAGTTTGTAGCCCTGCAGTCTTTCAGCAAATAGGTCCTGGGTCTTGATTCTGGCCTGGGCTTTTTCTGCTTGGAGTTTGCATGTGTAGGTGCAGATACCCCAGCTTTCACCCACAATCCACTAACAATAACATTAGCATAATTAGCATTTCTAAATTGATATTAGGTGTAAGTGTATGTGTGCATGGTTGTCTGACTGTGTTGCCCTGCAACCGACTGGCAAGCAGTCCAGGATGTTTCCTGTCTTTTGCCCATAGACTGCTGGAGATAAGCACCAGCCCTGTAAAACCTGATGGATAAGCAGTAGAAGATGGATGAAAGGATGACCAAACCATCCCCACTCTTCCATCTCTCTTGGGTTGGACTGAGAACTTTTCAAAAAGAGCCTAAAATCTTATAGAACATTTATTTGGCTTTTAGAAATGTAAAAGGCATTAGGGAGAACTTCAAACATTAAGATTTTTATGTATAGAAAAGATTAAATAAATGATTATTTTCTCAATGCAATGGTAATTTATCAGAGTGAAATCTATTTTTGTGGAACAGTCTGTGTAAAACATGATCAGGTCCTACTAATGTTTAGCCAGAGAGAAGAAGGGTTGCGCGTCTTCTATGTGGCCTGCAAATACGCTCATTTCACTAAAAGGCCCATCTACTTTAATGGGTTTCCCTTGTGACGCAAAAAAAAATCGAAGGCAGGATGGGTTATGATACATCCTGCACTGTTGTAACATGAGGGAATAAGAGGAAAAACTGAAACCAGCAGCCAACTAATCTCCACAAAGAAACATAATGGACATCAAATAATGAAAAGGTGTAGTTTATTCATTGGGTGCTCCCTGTGATACTATTGGTAATGATTTGTAATTATCATGCTGCTATCTGGGTAGTCGTATAGCCAAACACAGAGTTATTCCGAGATTATTTAAATGAGATGAACATGGTGTTCATAATGAAGAATTAAACTTATTGCTGATGATTCTATTAAAGAGTTGCTAATTTTATTTAAAAAAAAACTGCTCAATAATAAAAAAAAAAATTAAAAAGGGAAAGGAAAGTGTTTCTTTTAGCTTTGTTCTAATCTGTTAACATGTTGCATGCTTGAGGAATGCTTGGAAAAACAAGGGGTTCCCCTAATTATGTTCCAAGGTGCATTTTGTGAGCAATTAAAAGCATTTTGATTTATTTCAAGCACACTGATTTTAAAGCCTTTAAAGTGATAATAAGTTAGTCTATATAGAGCAGAATTGGAATATGCATATTACGGCAGTATTTGAATGCATCTAAAAGCTTACAGGGAGGCTGTGAAGTGAGGTCAGAACATGAGCATTGTTGTCTGTTGGAAGTACTCTTTAGCTCACTGATTGGAGTGTTCTAGATCAACTGTGAAACTTTTTAATGAACTTTTGGAACAACCATCTCATTCGGCATTAAATGAATTAAGTCTACAGGTCTTAAAAGGAAAGTCTTGTTATCATGGGAGGGGGTTATAATGGAAGAGCATCCGTCTGACTTTATCAAGTCAATGTCAGACTGGCTAATATTTCTCTGACTTCTTTTACATAGGTATCAAAACTAATTTCGTAGTATTATTATGTAAGAAATGTACTGCACATCCAGTCCTTTTTCCAGTTAAAAAAAAAAAAAAACATGGAAAATGATTAACAATTATAAGCTTGTCTTGAAATGTGGATTCTGGAACCAAGAATAAAACTAAGCATTAATATTTAACACAAAAAAAAATGTTTTTATTACTATTTAAACACAAAGCATCATAAATGTACCTTTCAACACAATTTAAATGTCGAAATACAGAAGCATCCCTTGAATATAATGCAGATAATCTAATGCTACTCAAGGGTTAGGATTCATCACTAATTAATATAACCAAGAACACAAACTGATGCACAGAAAATAAATTTCAAAGGGAAAAGAAGTGTACACCAGGCCACACTTAGCTCCCACTGCACAGTGGGCATAAGTTGAGCATGAATTGTCTTGGAAAAATAATTACAACACAGGAGAGCAGTTTTGACAGAGAGGCCAGCATCACTCACTGCAATGCTTGTCAGAGACCGTCTCAGTTGAGTTCACTGGCAACTGGTCTGATTAAAAACAGTACTGAGCTTTGCATGGGCTGAAGAAGACATCGCATAAACAAATCTGTGATGCTACAAACAGGAAAAACAAAGAACTTAGACTTAGACAAACCTTATGGTCATTTTGTATACAAAACGAAATTTCGATGCATACAGCTTTTCAACAGTGAATGAGCACCTTACATCAGTGAAATGAACATTTTCATTTATAAAGTGAGACTGTGATCAGAATGTAAACAGTGTAGGAGAAAAGGAAAACTAATTTAAAGACATGATGCAAAAGGCATTAATAAGCTAGGGTTCAGAGCAAAATAAATAAATAAATGTGGTGCAAAATAAAGTAGATCATGGAGTTGAGTTCTATTTAAAGGGATTTCAAAATTCGCCATGTAGTGCAAATTTGATGTTTACAAGTGTGATACAGAGTCTCGATTTATGACTTGATTAGAGTTTTAACAGTTCACCAGTCTTATGGCAGTGGGGGAAAAGCTGTTGCAGAACCTGTTGGTCCTGCATCGAATGCTGCAAAGCCTCTTCCCAAAGGGCAGATGGGAGAACAGTCCATTGTGGGGGTGTGAGGGGTCGCTGATGATGTTACCGGCTTGGGACACGTAGTGCTGGGATGAAATGTCTTTATTGGAGGGACGAGGAGCCCAGATGATCCCCTATATTTCAATTATTGTAAGAGTCCAAGATTGTTGACTGAAATCTAATATCAGAAATGAGATCTATATAATTTTGAATGTAGATGGAAAAAGAAAGATTTGAGGCCACATGCATGTATAATTACAGTGAATCTGGCAGGACAATTGAAATTACACCTCTGTGAAAATCAGTGGAAGATGTAAAAGGGGTGTAATTACGACCAGGAAATTAAACCATTAATAAGTATTAAGTTAAGTGATTATGGGACCTCTAAAAGTTGTCCATAATCTAGTCCATGTTTTAAAAATAGTGTAAAAGATAAAAGACAGGACATACTGTAGAAATGGATATTTGAAGAACTGTAAATGATAAACATAAAGTTAAGTATGCCACAGCTGCCCTGCGCATGCATTCCAAATACAACATTTAAACACCTGCCTGGAAGCTACATAGGGATTACTAGTCCTCTTGGTGTTCCTGCCACAGCCATTACGTTGTTAGAGTAAAGACCCTATAAACCATGTCTGTTTTGAAAAAGGCTTTGTTAGAAGATTTATCAAACAATTTCAAGTGTTCCCGGATATAAAAAAAAAGTACATTAGGAGCACTGCTGTCAAAAGAGCCATGCAAAAAAACTATCACCTGTGGCCTAATCTGAAGGAAAACAGGAACAAATCCCATTTAAATTGAATCATTGCTCAACCTTTGTCAGTTTGAGCCTGAAAACACAAGACTGGGGGATTTGGTAAGGGTTAGAAGAGTTCATGTAGCTGCAAACATCAAAAGACAATGTAAAGAATTGTCTTTCCATCAATCCCTTTATTTTCTTACCTAATTAAGGGTCAGAGGAGGTTGAACCCTGTTCTAGTAGTCAGCAAACAAAAGATAGGTGTTGTACCTATCTTCTGAATGGTTAACAGTCCATCAAAAAGATCGTTGTTGCTTTTTGTTTGTTTTGTTTGCCACTTTAAATAATGCAAACTCTTAATATGCACATTATCATTTTTAGATTGTATTAGATACAAATACATTTACCACACAAACTGAGAATTTGTCAAGATAAAAGGAGAGATTTATCTTTCTGTGGGAAATGTGTTTTTAATATTCTCAGTTAATCAGCTCTGGGTCATAGAGATCCATCATAAAGTGTGCTGGATGAAAGAGGGGCTTTACGGCTGTTATAGAGGGGCCCAGAAATATAATCAGAGAATTTAAATGGAGTTTTGACAACTTTTTGCTGCTTATTAGGAATTGAGTAATAGATCTATAGCACAGACGTTTTCTCTACAAGAAGTTACATAAGTAAAAGTTGAAAACTAACATCAGGTGTTGCTTAAAAACCATGATAACATTACAATCCACTAACCTTATTTTGCCACCAGGCAGACATATTTGTAATTGTTAAACTGACTGTGGTTCAGTGATTCTCATTATTGTTGGGCATGTAGGTGGCGCAGTGGATAGCTCGCACAAACCATGTACAGAGGCCTTAGTCCTCAACATGGCCGCCCTGGGTTTGAATCTGGCCTGTGGTCCTTTGCTGCAGGTCTCTTCCCCGTTCTCATACCCCCTTTTCTATCAACCTACTGT